TTAGACCAATCTCTAAATTAAATAACCCTAGCACATATGAACTAACATCTCTTGATACAGCCTTGTAAATACCAGATTTACCAGTTTCTCTGTTTTATGGCAAAAAATGTCATGTAGTAGACAAATCCCAGGGCAATATTAACTTTTATTAGCTTCTCCAACTTCAACTTCTCATCGTACCATAAAATATACATGCACACATGTTAATAGTAACGGATAATGAAACTAGAGATATTGTTTTATAACTACTTAAAAAAAATCATTATCTAAGCTAAAGAATCATAATCAATCAAACCCCAACAATCCCCCCCCCCCCTCTTTCTCCGAGAAAAATTTTAAAGAAGAAAAGGAAACAAAAGCTTCTAAGATATATAAGCGCCATTATTGATAACTATTGCAATGTTCAAAAATCGAATAAATTTAATAGCATTAACTAAATAAAATAAGAAAATGATATACAAGAAGGGATACAAGTAAGATGTTTGACTTTTGAAATTAAAAGTTGAATTTAACATTTATTACCTCAATGATGTGTAATTTTATCCTCAATTCCTAAATTAAGTCCATTTTTAATATGCTTTTTATTCTTAATATAGCCTTAAGAGATACATATATCATTACCCAATATAAATAATAGTGGAAAACAAATGAATAACGTTTGTATATGCATCGGTTTAGATGCACAAAATTGATCAGAAGAAAATTAGTTGAACAACCTCATAAACTTGATACTTCTTCAGGTTTTTTAACGTATTACACTTTGACAAAAAAAAAAAAACACACTAACATCTTAGTCAAAATGTGACACCTTGAGAAAATGGAGGAAATACTATTTAGTTAACAACTAAACTCGCATTAGATTTAAGATTTAAGGTGTGTTTATCCCCAAGACCCAACCCACATACTTCAAAATATGTCACATCAACTTTCCATTAACTTTTATCCAATTTATACTTTACAAAATTGGTCCTACAAATTTTCCTACAAATTTTGTAGTTTTAATTTTCAAAACTCATAGTAAGACTAGCTTTAAGTCTTGATGCACTTTATTGCATGAATTTTGTTGAAGACTCTGCTCAAGGCTACACTTGAAACTAACTCCCCATAAACTTACTCTCAAATGTGAACTTAGCCCGGCCCTTTGACATTGTGCATACAATTGGTTGGCTTTAAGAAAGCACAATATGGCAAGAATCATAATAGTAATTAACATTGTTGACTATAAACAGCTAGCAACAATCCAAATATTGCATTAGCAATCATTGATAAATGTCTTAATTTACTACTTTTCTTTTCCATTGTTTGGTCATTCAATACATAATAGTACTAATACACATTCTCTTAGAAAAAAAGTCAGTATTACAATCCATAGCCCCAACTTACTAAGCAATAGCCACATGATGGGTTAGTTGATATGTATTAGGTTGCCTAGTTTACTAATTATATGGATATTAAGCGTCATCATGGCTTTCGAGATTTGCTACAAGGGTCATTGAAAATTTTGGTTGATATTCAAGCTTCCATAGTATTATCCTTTAATGTTTTACTTAGTTTTCTAGCTATGTCCAAGTTATTAGGCTGCATAGGTTAATTATTTTGCTGTTTGTTATCTTAGATTGTTATGTTTAGTTTCCTAAGTTAGTTTAGATTCTAAGTTATTGTTTGATTAGGAGTCAAGTAAACCTAATAATGATAGGTTTCGTATGTTATATCTGTTATAGGTTGTAAACTAGAGATATTGTTACTCAATAGTCATTAGTAGAACTGTGTGTTTTGGTGAATAAATTTGGTTCAGTCTTGTGACTCCATTGTTATTCACTCGAACCCTATCACACACATATCAATCTAGCTATCTTCTCAAACTTGTTTTCTCAATTTGACTATCTTAAACTTCAATCGGAGATTTATTGCTCGCTTGTTATTAATTCGGTCAGCCCAACTTAACAAAGACCCACGCAACATCAATGATTTTTTTTTATTTTTTTTTTATTTTTTTTTGTAAGGTAAGAAAAAGAAAACATTAGGAACCCCTCCTCACGAGGGGAATTCCTAATATATCAGAGGAAATAATAGGGTATAAAGATGAGGAAGTATAAAGAGTAAAGTCCATGTCATCACTAACAAGATGACCTACATTCGCGATCCAATCTGCTCTTGTATTTGCTTCTTTGTAAACATGGTTAATATCCTATTGCTAAAACCTTTGAAGAAGATTAAAGATGTCGGCGATGATGTGATCGATTTGCCATGGAACAGACCAAACTCCTTTAACTGCGTTGATTACTAAGAAATTATCTATGTCCTCTTGGAGAAATTCCCTCCCTCTTGGAATGACTACCGTAATTCTTTGAAGCACAATAAAAAGGACATGACTCTCTAAGAACTCATTAGTCACATGAGAACCAAAGAGGCTAATCGCCTTAAGGATAAGTTTGAAATTTTATCTCTTAATTCTTCTAAATCTAATTTTGTTGAGTCTCATTTGAATGTGTCTAAAAATAGGAAAAATTCTAAGAAAAAGGGAAACAATAAGTCCAAAAGCAACTTCATTCCGAACAACAAATTAAAATCCAAAAAGTGTTTGGTATGTGTGTGAGTTCATTGGACACAAAGCATACTAATGCACCCGAAGGCCTCAGCCAAGACAGATGACAACCCCTCCCAAGCCTATGTTATTGAAAAAGAAGAAATCATTACGGCGGTGATAGTGGAAGCCAACTTGGTTGAGAACAAAGTGGAGTGGATTTTTTCTTCAAAAAGAAAAAAAAGTGGAGTGGATTTTGGACATCGGAGCGTCAAGGCATTTTTGTGCCAATAAGGCTTTGATGACTAATTTTGAAGATGTTACCGACAGCGATCATGTCTACATGGGTAATAGTAGTACTGCCAACGTCTTTGGCAAAGGAAAGGTTCATCTCAAACTTATCTTGGGAAAACTTTATTTTTAAATAATGTGTTGTATGTACTTTCTCTTAGGAGAAATCTCATTTCGGGAACCCTTTATCAACAAACCCGGTCTAAAACTTGTCTTTGAGGCCGAAAAGATTGTAATGACTAAAAATGGAGACTTTGTTGGGAAATGTTACCTAAATAATGGCTTGTTTGTTTTGAATGTTATGAATGAGAATGGAAGTACTTCTTTTACTTATATTGTTGAGTCTTTAGATGTTTGGCACAACCGTTTGGGTCACCTAAATTCCTCTTATTTGAAAAAGTTAAAGGACATGAATTATATTAATTTTTCAATGGATGGCAAACTTGACAAATGCCAAATTTGTGTTGAGGCCAAACATACGAAGAAACCATTTAAGCAAGTGGTCTCAAGAACAACAAAATTACTTGAATTATTGATTCAGTTGGATTTAACGAACTTTAAAAAATACACTAATAGTGGTGGTAAAATTTATTATATTATTTTTGTTGATGACTTTAACACCTATTCTCCAGTGACTAAGATTGCCACCATTAGAACCTTGGTAACCTTTGCGGCAATTCATGACCTAGTGGTTCACCAAATGGATGTCAAAACGACTTTTCTAGATGGAGACCTTGATGAAGCTAAGTAATCTATATGACTCAACTGGAGGGTTTTACGGTGAAGGGACAAAAACACAAAGTGTGTAAGTTTAGAAAGTCTTTTTATGGTGTTAAGCAAGCTCCTAAGCAATATAATGGTTTGAAAAGTTTGATAGCACTCTTAGGAGTTGTGGCTATGTGGCTAATTTGATCTTCGGATTCTTGTTTATACTTTAAGGAGTTTGAATCATCTTGTGTTATAATAAGTTTATATGTTGATGATATGCTTATTGTTGGTACTGACCTTGATGTGGTGAATAACACTAAGGCTATGCTTTCTACTAAGTATGAAATAAATAAATGACATGGGAGAAGCCAATATAATTCTTGTAATTCATCTTAAGGAAAACAAGAAATGGTTTTGCCATGAGCCAATCTCACTATGTGGAAAATATTCTCAAGAAATTTAATTCTTTTGATGTGGTGCCTTGCAATACCTCATATGATCCCAACATTAAACTTTGAGAAAAACATGTAAGGGTCATAATGTATCTTAAGAAGTCTATGCAAAGGTAATTGGTAGTAATATTCAAAAATATAAATTTACTACATACTACCTCCGTTTTTTTTAATTGACATTGTTTGACTTTTACACTATTCACACACTACACTTTGACTCGCTTTTGTGATTTATAGATGCGACAAAATATAGTCGTGTACAATCTTGTTTGAATTGTGTCAATGTATATTTTATTAATATCCACTTTTTTATTTTTATTTTTTATTTATTTATTTTTTTATAATTTTACAATGTTGATAATTAGAAATATTAAAAGTTAAAAACATGTGTAGACAAGCGTGATAATTGAAGGGTGTCAACTAAAAACAACTAGGTAGTATTATATTATTTTGATTATATTTTATATATTTAATCTATTTTTAGTTAAATTGGGAATTATTAAGTCCTCCGGAATTAGGATACATTATTTTATATATTATTACGAATCCTATTATATATTATATATGTTGAAATTTTGGATTAATGACTAAAATAATACATACAAATCTTATCTTTAGTACTCCTAATTATATGTTACGAAAATTAAATTAGTTACCCTTAATCTCATTGTTCAATTAAATAATCAACTATATCTGAAGAAGAACAAAGATCGTTCAAAATTGACATTCGAGTTGATGATTAAATGATCTACTAAAAGTAGTAGTTAATTAATTTTTCATTTAGTTTCATTTAAAAAAAAAAACAAAATTAAAAAAAATTATTTAGTATATATCTACTTACATATAAATTTCTAAGATTTAGTGTCTGTTCTGATTAACTGGATTGAGCTGAACTAAACTGAATTGAATTTATTGGAGCTGAACATAATTGAATTAAACTGGATATTTTATGAGAGAAGAAAATTTAAAAATAAAATAAACTGAACTGAACTATATTGAAAATAATTCGAAAAGAATGAGTTAAGCACAAATTTGGGTACTCAATTCTACAATTTTTCACCGTTTAGGTACTGAATTTATTTTCTTTACCGTTTGGGTACTGAGTACCAAATTCCGGCAAAAAAAAATAATTCTCCTTAAGAATTGAGTCCCCTTGGTAAACAATTCAGTACCTTGGGTTAACTCTAAGTGGGGCCCACTCGAATTAAAAAAGCGCGGGGTCAAAAAAAAAATTCCCCCTTTTCTTTATTCCTTTATTCCCCCTTTATTCTTTATTCCTTTATTCCCCCTTTATTCTTTCCAATTCTGGAAAATAGCCGCGCATTTGGTGAAGAACACGACCATTCCTTTGGGCAAATTTGGGGAAAACGACACTTAGTGCAGCCATTTTTTTGAGGTAACCTTCATTACTCATTGTTTTTTGTTGTTATTTTGATTTAAATTTCGAATTTTTTGGCCAATTAATGATCTTATTTTGCAAGTTAGGGTTTATGGTTTTGTGGGTTTTGTGGGTTTTGTGAACGAAATTGATGATGTTTATTTGTTGTTTTTTTTTAGACATAATTTGTTGTTGTGTTGTTGTTTGTTGATGGATTATACTAGTGTTGTTGATGGGTTTTTTCGATTGTTGTTTATTATGCACAAGGGTTTGATTAATGCATGTGTTTTGCGAAGTAAAACAAGGGAGGTTTTGCTTCAACTTGACTGCAGTACAAAGGGGGAGATCTTGAAGAAGCAGCAGCTGTTCTTTTTTTTTTTTTTTTTTTTTTTTTTTTATTTTCTGGGAAAATCGTTGATGATGAATTTAGGATAAGAAAACTGGATTGATTCTGTTTGCTGCTTTTTGAATGATTCAACAGAAAAATTAGTTATATATTGTTTTTTTTTTAAAAATATTTTTTTAATTAGGTATGGTTAGTGGTGAGTTAGTGGCGAGTTAATTAGCCTAAAAATAAGTTTGAGTACTTAAAAGATGAGCAAAAAAAATTGAGTACGTAAAAGGTGAAAAATTGAAGAATTGAGTACCTACTTGTACTCTTAACTCGAAAAGAATAGACTTTTAATGTGCAAGGAAGAATTTTTTTAAAAAAAAAAAAATAAAAATAAAATTAGCAAACCGGGAGAACAGTCCCACGAGGGGGTTTGTTGCTTGTTATGATATCGCCGCTTGTTAGTTGAGTTTGACAAAAACAATGACAGAAACTGCTGATTACGTCTCTAATCCTCTCTCTAATTCCCCTCTTAAACCTCAACTTCAACAACAATATGAATTTGAAGTTGAAGTTGAAATTGAAGAAGATGATGAACTGAAGAAATTACTTCTACCTGATGTTTCCACTCTCCCCCTTTCTCCTCCTTCCGCCGTTGAAACCAATTTTGTTCGCTATTTCGCCCTTGGTTAGCTTCTCATACCTCTCTATTTTAGTTCGGGTTAATTTCATAAAAAGATGATTTCAATTCTGAATTGGGTTTTGTTATGTAAATAATTGGAATTTTATTTTGATGGGTTTATAATTATTCATGATATGTTTACACATTCAGATTTCATGAAGCCAGGGCATGATCAATATGTGTATCGTCATGCTAATGGGTATGTTTTGCTCTATTATTTAATGTGCTCTCATTGTCGGGAATTAATAGTCACGTTGATTATGTTTATCGTATTGTTGATGTGACAACTAAATCCGAATGGAAGTTATCTACAAGTATATAAGAAGTACTAAACTGAAGTGATGGTATTTTCAGCTATATATTGATGCTAGTAATTTTCTGATTGTGCAAACATTTGTTTGCTCAAGTATAAGTTGTTGGTTAGTTGAATTGAATTTGAATGATAAAAGGGGCATAAGTGCATTGTTATAAAATCTTATTGCCTTTAAGTGGAAGAATGAGCTATGATATTTAGTGTTGTGATAAATTTGTTTTCTTTCTGAAAAATATGAAACAGGTTGTGTGTGATTGGGTTGGCAAAAACCCATGTAGCTCTTCAGGCTCAAGGAGGTGTTACCTCTGTAGATTTTAATGTTGGAAAGTCCGATCGTAGTGAATTGAAGGTCTCAGGGAAGCGCAAGAAGGTAACCAAATCAGCCTGTGTTTTGTACATACTTTCTTTACATAAGATTCTTGTTATGTTGATATTATAGTAGCCATGTTTTATGCTGGAAAAAAAGTTAAGGATTTGGGTTGGATGGGCATACTTTCTTTACATTAGATTCTTATTATGTTGATATTATAGTAGCCATGTTTTATGCTTGGAAAAAAGGTTTAGGATTTGGGTTGGAAGCATCAGAAGCTTTCTTCTCGATCTTTAATCATGGGTGAGTAAGAATGTCGTTGAACACTATACAGCCCTTCTTTCTGCCTTACTAATCAATAGAAGATATAGTTGAGTATTATAAATCATTATATCAATCAAAGAAGTTGAGTTGGGGCTGGCTGTTTAAAGGGATAAAATCTGCATTGCTAGTGTTGAAAATGATGTTTTAGACTCCTGATTCCATCTCAAGATTCTTTGTTGAAGTGGATATGGATCCTCGGGCCCTTATGTTTTGTCCAAAATTGAAAATTCGGTTCCCTTTAACCGCCAGTAACTATGTACATGAATGTTGAATTTATAATGTTTGGTTTTTGATTCTTGGATCCATACTCTCAAGTCTACTACTTGTATTCAAGTTCATGCATTTTAGGACCCAACTCTCATAATGTTGGACATGAAGATGTATTGCATAAACATAAATGTAGTTTATGTATTGCATAAACATAAATGTAGTTTATGTATTGCATAAACATATAAGTAGTTTAATCACTTATTAACTTAGTCCTCTGCCCCTTACCGACTTTAATTTTGACAAGCTTTTGTGATGTACCTATCATTTGATGGAAAGCATAGCGATAACAGTGTAAAAAACTTTTGATTTTAACCACACTGGTACACAGTATCTTCCTCTGCCAAGTTCCAGGAGAACATTCAAAATGAAATAGTTGCAGATTGCAAGTTCATTGGTTCGTCAAATACACCTAATATAAGTGGCTTGTTTCTTTGGTGAAACAAAGACTTATGAGCTACTTCATGTTAAAACCATAAGGAAGAAAGCTCTCCTTCTCAGCCCCTTTAAATTAAACTTCTATTATCAGTCCCTTGAAGAGTATTGACTTGCAAATGTTGTAAATTATGTGACTGAACTGTTCTGTAAGTTTAGTTGAGAACTCAATTTTGCAAAATGTAATATGGACCATGCATTCATTAGCCACAAATATGCCACAAATTTGGCCTTCTTAATGAATTTGTCATACTGATATCAAGGCACAAAATATGTGACATACAGCCAGCAGTCCCTTGAAGCCTTAATCATCAGGGGTAGGGGTTTGTTCATGTTGTACCTTCCTAGATTCTCATATGGAGAGTAATCCAAGCCTTTCGCCGGTTGAACTTATTGATGATGTATCTAAATTCTGCTCCAGGTTCTGGACATTCTGCCAATTCCTACAGATCACTATGATACTTTAAGCATATTTGCTCATTAGGCTGTGATGATTTTGTTAATTATTTATGCTATTTGATTAAAATGAGTGATGCATAGATCAATCTTTCGTTGGATAGTTAAGAACTTAAAATAGAAGACAATGCCGATACAATGTGATATCATGCAATTAGTTGATCTTCACCTGAACAATTTCTTTGTGTAGAATGCTCAACACTTTCAACCAAATAGTATTTTGTGCAATGTCCATAGTGGTGATGTCCCCTACACTGTCAGGTAAGTTTTTGGTTGCTTCTTGCTTCTCTTCTGCCTTATTTTGCCTCTTGATAATAACGAGTAGGCTGTGTCATGAACAGGTGTTGTGTCAAAGGGCCATTGCTTGAAGTCAATAATAAACTAATTGAGAGTCCAGACCTGCTTAATACATCGGTGAGAATTCAGTAAGATGCTTTCTTACTGTTTTTTATAACCTGTGTCCTGTGGTATAAATGACATAGGACTGTGCTTATCATTCTTCACTATCGTTGAACTTAAATTTTGATTTTTCAAATGATGCGATAAGCCATGTACCTCAGGTATAGCCCTGCACATTGAACCCCTCCTCTCCTTCCTCTCTCTCATTTTATCAGTCTTATCACCCAGCCCCTGCGGCCCTGCCCTGTCCTCCTCGCTCTCACTCTACTTCCCCTTTCTTGAGTGTTCGAACTCATGCCATTGGTCCGGGAGGTGGGATAAAATTTTCACCACTACACATCTTGCGGCTCATCAAACATTACTTGCTTGACCTGTTGCTATTTGTAGGAAATATATCTAAATCGAGTATAGTCTAATATGCGTCATTCTCATTTGTAAAAGTGTTACTCTTTTAAATTTGATATTTTAACCAACATAGATTGGAGTCATGTGTTTAGGTTGAGAGTTGATTAGAAACACTGCTTAATTGTACAAAATTACCTGGTTTCTTGGGTTTGTTATACAACAATATCTTACTGATTCAACTTCTCTTTTACCTCAATATTTCAGGCTGAAAGAGAAGGTTATATCGCAATTGTGATGCCAAGACCAGGAGACTGGCTCAAGATTAAGGAAACGCTTGTGGATTTTGATGAGTTTAAGAAATTACGAAATCTCAGCTAACATTATTTTCTTGCTAGATTTATCTCTTGCAATTGTAGCTGCTTATAAAGCTCTCACTAACTGCCATAGAGCAGGTGGGAGCAGCTCATTCTAATTGTTTTGAAGACGCTGAGAGCTTGAAGGAGGGTTCAGCCAGACGTTGAAGGCATAAGAATCAGATCCAGCTTAAGGCCCACGGAGACCAAATCTCGAATCCTTCTATGTTATTGTATGATTTCCTTTATATTGTATATTTATTTTGAATAAACCTAGCTTAAGAAATGTGGAAAATTATTGTTTTTTTTTCTTTTTTTTTTTCGGTGATAAATTTTTTTCATTGAATTCGTTTACCTGTTCTGAAGAGGTTTTTCTCCATGTTCAAAAAGCTCTACATGTATGTTCAAAGTATAATCCTTTTTGATATATTTGAAAGTTAATGTTTGCCTAAGTTCATTAAAGTTACAGGTTATGTGCAACGATTTGACATAAAGCAAAGAGGGAAAATGTCTAATCGTTGCACATAACCTGTACCGGAGGTAGTATGTTATTTATTAATCAAAAACCCGTTTGTCAATGGAATGTTCAAATGGAGTATTTATCATGCTTTCTAGAGTAGGATATACTAAGTATATTGCTCCTCACCCCAGCCCTACTCTCCCCCTACCAATATGGAAAGAGCTTTATTTATTTATTTTATTTTATTTTATTTTATTTTATTTTTGTGTAAACGTGTATGTTTGCATAATACATTGGCTTGATTGTGTGCACTGTAATGCCCTCGTTTCATAGACTAGTTGTTGCATAGTCAACAGTTTTCCTAGAAATAATCTGACATGCTTTTGAAAAAAAAAATAAAAATAAAATAAATAAAAATAAAACCTTAATACGGTGTATTTAGATGTATTGATTATTGAGTCACCCCCTGTGAGAAAGGTTTGATTTTCACTCTAAACTAGTGGAATCTCCAATTTCCCTCTTACTTTGTGAGGAAATTTTCTTTAACCTTAATAAAAAAAACATAGAAAAAAAATAAATAAAATCTAACACGAATTAAATTATATTATGATAATATTGGATTGGTAACAAAATGTTCTTAACGTTCTATAATAGTCTTGACTTTTGAATTTTTAATAATTTCTCATAGATCTAGTTTTATCCACATTTTCCCATTATTATTTTTGGAAACAATACTTGGATGGATCTAATGCCAAAAATCACATTTACTACCATTGTTAAAAGTGTCTTAAAAAAAAACATGTAGAGCTTTTTGAACGTGCTTACTTCAAGCAGAAGTATTCCAATAAATTAAGATTTGATATGAAACAAATTTAAAGCAACTAAATAGGTGAAGTTGGTGGTGGTTGAAGGGTAATACGACCGGTGTGGGGTTAATTATAACATACTTGTATAGTTGCATCTTTCAATAGAGTGACTATAATTTTCCACCACCCCCTAAAGCTGATACATCATAGACTACCCCAAAATAAACATAACAATCCCTTTCTTTCAACCATCCGATCCCTATTTAGTATTTACCCCCATCCTTTGTATCACCTCTCTCGTATCTTTCTCTAAACTCCATTCCTCCCGCCACTCTCGTGGTGGCTCGGCCCCCCTATCTTACTCCAAGCATTCTAAGTATATATATGATGACCTTAGTGATCTTGTGTTGAGGTCACTTTCTTCATTTATATGATAGTTTCTCCAAAGGCAGAATATGATGCTACGTCGTGCACTAGGCAGATGGGCAACTAATCAAAACTTGTGATAGATTTACTGACAAATGTGCAGTAAATAAATTGTAATATTACATTTAATTTTAGTTCAAAATTGAACAACTAAAAAAAGAATCAATCTTTTTATGTGTTACACACTTACACTAGTTTACATAAATCAACAATATAAGCAAATTTTACTTTAACTAACTTGTGTGAAAAAAAAAAAAATGTATTGTTTTTGTAAACTACATCAATGAAAAAATTGTCCTACGAGCTAGCTAACTTCTACGAGTTCTATCCAAAGAATCATTGAACAGCAAGCGCGAGCAGAGATTGCTATAATGCTGCCATTGTTGATCGTGTCAACTCAAAGGGGCTAATATTTCTTGAAGAACTAATCTTCTTGATCTATTTATAGTTAAGAAGCACAAGTAAATATGTTCTTCAAGCTCATCCATTTGTTCTTCAAACCCGTGTTCGTGTAATTGTATATCCTTTAGTGCTTCCCTAATCACTTCATGATTCCTCCCATTCCTCACACACATCTTTGCAACCTGTCTTTTATGCTCAACCTCGTCGTGCAACCGTGTCACGAGCCTCCCTACCGTGTCAAAGTCATTGATAAAGGTATAAATGCCCCTAGCCGCGACATCTAGTTGTGACCCTAGGTGCTTAAGGAAGCTTGTCTTAAGCGATCCACCACCGTGTACACTCTTCATCACACCCTTCGACAATGGCAATAATAAGGCCGGTGCCCCTAATAGTCCTACCATGCTATGCATTGCTAAGGCTAGCAACGCGATAGCAAACACTGCGTAAGTGATCACAAAACCATAGCCAGCTGCCTTCTTATATAACCGCGTAAATTTTTCCCTTCTCTTGATTTTCCTCTTCCTTGAGGTCAACTTTCGAAGAAGATGGGAGTAATTGTCATGGATCATACGAAAGTCTACCGCGCCATTCATGATTTCTAACAAAGGATTGCTTAAGCTTGCATAGGAAGCTAATTCTTGAAGAAGCAATTCATGACATTGTTCATCCCCTTGCTCAGATAACTTGAGTACCCTTTTGATAAGCCGGTGGTTAGACCGCGTTTTATGGATTCCTTTAAGAAGAGCTTCACATATATTGCTAGCTTCAAGGCTTGCATCAAAGTAGTCAACAAGAAGGGTTTGAAGATTCGACGATTTTATGAGATCAATCACTGCCTCTTGTCGCGGTTCTAGGAGGAGTTCCGTGAGATGCGAGTAAAATGGAGGCGGAGATGATGAAGTTAAGGAAGACGAAGACGAAGATGGAGGTGAAGGTGATGCTAAAGGAGAAGAAGAAAGTTTGTCATCTAATGTTGGTTTTTGTAATCCTGTTAGCTGAATTTGAGCTTTGCTCCAAATTTCCATGTATGATTGTGTTCTAAATACTCCCTTGTACTCTTCATTCACATTTAGCTTCTCACACAAGCTAGCCTCTTTCCCTAGTTTTTTCCTTGAATTTCCTAAACACACAAAACAAAATCTTATTAGCACCACATCATTCAAGATCTAATATTATAATAATAATCGAGCATATATATTTATTATATTCTAATAATTCCTCATCGAATTAGGATTCTCTCCAATAGTTGAACAAGTTAACTAATTACATCAAAATTAAATGAAGGATTTAATTTTCGTCGAACAGTTATGGGAGAGAATCCTCCTTTGAAACAAAAGAAATTAATAGAATGAAACAAAAATCATGAAGTATTTGTCATGTGCTTACCATATTTTGAAGAAAATGAAGATTTAACCTTGGACCACCAAATCTTGTTGCTCTTTGAGGAAAGCATGTCGTTGTTCATTGTAAATGAATCAAAATATTTTTTGTCTTAAATGTTTGAGAGAAAAAGAAAGAGAGAGGTTTTGATTTCCTTAGAGCTTATTAATAAGTAGCTTAGTAGTTAAGGTTACAATAATAATGAATTAAAAGTGGTGATTAAACTTGATTTATATATGTTTTAGGTAGAGAGAAAAAGAGAAAGAGAAGAGAGAGAATTAAGTGGAATAGAACAAGAAACTCATTTGGCAGTTGTGTATAAATACAAAGGACCACCGCTTTGTACAAAAATAATTTGTTAGTGTGACTTAGGTTACACGATAACGTAATCATACGTGTATTATTCATCGATCACCTATATTTTTGGTGCATGATTCTGTTTTATTCTATTGGATTTCCTTTTATTTTTAGTAGTTACTGTTATGTTTTAATTTGTTTTGTGTGTGCCTTTTGGACAAGCTAAAGAGGTTTTGTGGAAGGTATTATTATTGTAAAGAAAATGAAAGTAGTAGCTTGAGATAAAAACTAGAACTAACGGTTTTATCCACACGTATGAAAAATTTTATCCCCAATAAAATTGAGGTTAATTTATCATTCAATAATGTATGTACTCCGTAATACTGATGTCATAGCTTGTGTTAAATATATGATCAAAGGTTTTTGTCTCATTAACTTGTTTATCATTGTTCTTTATTATTGGGTAAATTTTTATAAAATTATTCTATATCATTTTTTTTTTCATAGATTAACAGTTAAGCTTAGAAGTTATTTTCTTATATGTAACGATTGTAAGTTATTGAAAATCAAACCTGCAAGTTTGCTAAATTTGTATTAATCTGAGTAAAACAAAATAGCTATAAATTACTAAGAAGATCAATATAAATAAATAAATAAATAAATAAATAAATAAAAAAACACATCTAAACACTCAAACAGACGGTAGAATTGAAGTATAATAATACTAATAATTATTTTTTACGAAAATTAAATTAGAGGGAATATTATGTATGAAATAGGAAGTAGAAAGTTGAGTTTGATCCTAAAAGTTAATATACCCAATTTGACTGTAATAATAGATTGTTAGCTTTTTTTCAACATGTAAGGCCCAAAAGGTAGTATTAATGTCGAAGAGTTTGTTGGCCATAACTATCAAGATCAACTTAAAAGGTCATAATATCAAAAAGGGAATGGTTACCTATATTTTTATTATTTATGTTTCTATGATAGATTTCTAAAATTATGTTTGATTTCCTTGAAATAAAGTGATTAAGTTCAATTTCTTTCTACTAAGATTAGACCTTTTTATACGGTACAACTATTACCGCTTTTTAAAATGATAATTTATTCATCGAATATGACTTTTATTGTGAAATTTAGTTATCTTTTGAATTAACATATGATTAAGTTTTATTAGTTAAATTATAACGTCATACATAATTGCTAATATAGCACAATCCTGATAGATACCGGAAACTTTCCAAGTAACAAAAACCATATAAAAACATGGAAAAAATGAGGAAAATAGAGGTTGACATTAGATTGAAATTACGTGAACAAGAAGTACATAGAATCCTAGGTTCATAAAAATGGATCAAAGTTTGGCACACGCCAAGAGTAATCTTTAGCAACATTACTGTTAAATACAAAGCTTTAAGCTTATCCAGCAATATGATAATCCCATTATTTTAATCAAACAAAAATATATTAAAATATCTATATAATTGTGGTTGTTAATGATTGAAAGATAGTTTATTTTGTTAATTCACGAAATCTTGGAGATTACTATATGAAGAAGGGTTATGTATTGAGAAGCTATGCACGTGATAATTACACATTTCAGTTAATTTTGTTATTATATTATAATACGTACAATGATGATGATGATTATAATTATAATAATGATGATTATAGGGATGGTGATTGGTTAATGATTTTCGTGGGGTCCACGGCGAGTTTATAAGTTTGTAAGCAAAAACTCTCGTCACTTCACAAACGAGTGAACAACAAAAGTATCCATCCTTTTTCTTTCTTTATGTTTATGGTTATAAAGTCTACTCGAGCCGCGTGTAACACAGCTTGTGGTCGGATATTATGGTTATAATATAATTAGGTTAACTCCCGGGCCATGCACGATAATTATTAATAACCATTATCAAACTATCATTATAATTAATTAGATGAAAGCACGTGCAATGTACGGTTTTTATCTGTAAATTTCATGTATGGATAATTTTTTTTTTGTAATTACACCATACAATATGTTGATTAAATTATTGTGCTAATTAGGAAAAGGTTAATTTTTATTATTTAACATAATTTAAAAAGAGATCTTATTTGTTGGTGCTAATTATGTGAAAATTAAATTTATAATTAATAAAAAAAATTATAAATATAATATCTTATTTGTCGGATAATAGAAGAAAAAAAAGTTAAAATATAAGTTTTTTTTTTTTTAAAAAAAATACTAAATCAGTAATTATGATGGACCCTTCCCTAACCCTTGAAAAATTCATTATCACTAATTAAGCATTTACCAAATTTGCCAGATAAAACTTTTAACGTTAAAAGATATATTTTTTAAAAAATTGTATTTTTGAGAGGATGTATACAAATATTTAATATCATCATATCTTATACTACGTATATATGTGGAGTAGTAAATAAATCTCTTATAATTTTTTTTATTATCTAATCATGATATGGGTTGCTAGATAAGATAAAATTTGAAATTTTTTTTTTTTTTTGGCAAGTAAAGTTATTAATTCTAAAATAAAACACAAATCTAATTTTATTGGGTTAATATTAAGGAAAAATTAGAAATAATAATCCCAATTTTGTCTAATTTATGTAGAATAATCCCAACATTTGATTATATTGGAATAATCCGAACTTCTTTTTCTTCAATCCCTAACCGGTCAACATAATTCAATGACCTACTATATTAGGTCACTTGACACGTGTCAAACCCTGATTGGTCAAATTTTTTAAAAAAAAAAAAAATTGAAAACCCAACCAACCTCCCCTCCCCCTTCCCCCACCGTGCACCCTTACCTCCACCACCACAGCTAGACCACCTCCTATCCCCTCGCCCAACCGCCGCTATCCCCCACCCCTTACGTCGCCGTTTTTCCCCCTCCCCGAAACACCTTCCTCACCGAAACCCCAAGGTTGAAGCCACCAAAACCCTAAACGCAGCCACCTAAACCCCAAAATCGCAGCCACCGAAACCCAAATCGCAAATTTGAGGGTGGGTTAGGTATTTTCGGGATTAGGGGAAGGGTTTCAAGTGAGTTTTGTGACCGGTTTTGGTAGTTTCGAGGTCGGTGGCTGCGGCTGGGGTTCGTAACTGTGGTTTTTGGCGAGGCTGTGGTGGTTGGCGAGGCAAGAAGGGAAGCCAACAAAGGGTGGGGGTTGGGGTTAGGGGTTTTGTGATGAGGGAAGTCAGATAGGGGGTGGAGATGGTGTTTTCCGGGGTGGAGGAAGGTCGGGGCCAGGTTTCGGTGGTTTTTCCGGTGAAAGAGGGAGAGGGCAGTGGTGGGGTTTGGGGCTCCGGTGAGCAAGGGTGGAGGGGTTGGGTGGTTGTCTGGTTGATGGTGGGTTATTTGGGGTTTTTTTTTATTTTGTTTTTTTATATATATATTTTTAACCAATGAATTTGTGACACGTGTCATTTTAATTAAAAAAAATTAACCCATTCAACCGGTAACCGGTATTTGGGATTGAAGAAAAAGAAGACCCTCCAAAGTTCGGATTATTGCAGTATAATCGAAAATTAGGATTATTCTACATAAATTAGAGAAAGTTGGGATTATTATTTTTATTTTTTCCTAATATTAAAATAAATTAAAAGTACTTATCAATTAAAAAAAAACCATAGTTACATTCATCAAATCCTAATATTGAACATTATTTGAATATACAACCATCAAGTACCAAAATTCATACGTAGTGTATTATCATTAATATTTATATCTAGTAGGTGTTTATTATCATTAATAAGTTAGATATTCATATGTAATTTGCGTGTGTAGGCGTCGTTCGAAGTGCGCCTACATTTAACCATATTGTGAATATGCTTGGCACTCATAGGAAGTGGGATTTGACATAATACGATTAGGGACAAATAAAGCAAGGAGCCGCCAATAAGTTTTTAAGGAACTTGTAAACCGTTCACGGATCATAAAAGGCAACCACGAATAAGGGACAACGAAGGCAACAACGATTGACCCGTGAAGGTTACACCCCATTCATAATCCATGAGATTACTAACTCCATATGGTTCGGAACCACGAAAGGAGGATCGGGGATGATGGTACGAAGTGAGTCATGGAGTCACATTCGCCCGTATTGGCCTCTACTCGATTCTTATAGTGAAAAGCATTCCTGAGATCTCAAAAGCATACAAACAAAAATTTAATTTGCTCCAAACTATTATTAAGCTAAATTGGTTTAATATTAATGCAACATATAATTCTAAAATATTGTGATCACTTGATTAAACAACAAGATTAAAAAGGATCCTAAACCAGTTGTCCAAATTATCTTATTAGGCGTGGTTTTCAATTACATATTCCCTTTAAACATGAAATATAGTGATCATAAAAATAAGCATTAATATTGGAAGCAATTAAGCAATAATTCCAACAATATAAAATCGTTACAAAAATAATAGAAACAAGAGGAACATAATTCTTACTTTGATTCTGTTTGTTTGCAACTACAAAATAATAAAACGAGTTAGTAACTTCAAGAAAATAATAATAAAACAATAATTAAATTAAACTAAAATAAGTAGAGTTGATTTGGGGCTAAACCCTCAAACAGTTCTACCTTTCACGCCTTGGCTTAAGGACAGAACCACGAGTAAAGTATGGACTCCTTGGAATACTTGAAAAAGGAATTTTGAAAGAATAAAGGGTAGGCTAGTGTTTAGGCTAAAGCATAGAAGAGAGAAAAAACTAGAGAATTAATTGATGCCCCGTACATCAGAAATGAGGGGGTATTTATAGAGAAAATGTGCTGAGGGAATACACGGAACCCTAAAATGATAAAAACCCTAAAAAAGTATCCCGCGACACGGCAAAC